TCCCCTCGTCGGCGATGATGGCGGGCGCCTCCTCGATGATCTTCTGGTGGCGTCGCTGGATGGAGCAGTCCCGGCCAAAGAGCGAAATGGCATTCCCATAGGTGTCCGCCAGCAGCTGCACCTCCAGGTGGCGGGCGCAGGTGGCGAGCTTCATCACGAAAATGGGCGAGCCGGGCACCTCATTCTGCACCTGGCGGAACATGGCCGGAAAGTCGTCTGGCGACTCTGACTTGCGAATGCCCTTGCCGCCGCCGCCCTCGCTCGCCTNGAGCCGGGCACCTCATTCTGCACCTGGCGGAACATGGCCGGAAAGTCGTCTGGCGACTCTGACTTGCGAATGCCCTTGCCGCCGCCGCCCTCGCTCGCCTTGATCATCACCGGAAAGCCAATCTTCTTCGCCGCCACCAGGCCCTCATTCACGTCCCCCACGCAGCCCTTCAGGTAGAGCTCCTGCGGAATCTTGAAGGTCTTCCCCTCCTGCCAGTCCGGGCAGACCAGGCCGCTGCCCGACCAGTCCATGGTGGGCACGGCGGCCGTCTGCGCGACAATGCTCGAGGCGATCTTGTCCCCGAGCGCCCACATTGCATTGCAGGGCGGCCCCATGAAGGCAATATTGGCCTTGTTGAGCAGCTCCGGCAGGCGCGGGTACTCCGAGGCGTGGCCCCAGCCCGCCCAGACGGCCTGCACGTTCATGCGCTTGGCAATGTCCACAATGAGCTCCACATTGGCGTAGTTGTTGTTGTTGGTGCCGCCGGGCACGGGCACGTACTGGTCCGCCATCTTGATGTACTCCGCATTGGCCTTCAGGTCCTCGGGGGTGACCTGGAGGGGAAAAAGGTGAATATGATTCCAAATGATAACCCTCTNGGCCTGCACGTTCATGCGCTTGGCAATGTCGACAATCAGTTCCACATTGGCGTAGTTGTTGTTGTTGGTGCCGCCGGGCACGGGCACGTACTGGTCCGCCATCTTGATGTACTCCGCATTGGCCTTCAGGTCCTCGGGGGTGACCTGGAATGAAAAGAGATGATAATTTTAAAAAAATGGTAACCCTCTCCACCACCACCACTTACCATGACGACAAAGCGAATGGCCTTCTCATTGCGGAACATCTCATAGCTCCAGCGGCGAATGGAGCGCATGCACTTGACGGCGGCGATGCCATTGTTGGCGATGAGGACCTTGTTGATGACGCGGTTGCCGTTGAAGCGCTTGATGAACTCCTCCGGCGTGGCGATGGTCAGGTCGGCCTTGTCCTGACTGGAGAGGTGAATGCCGGACATGGACTGGCGGAGTTGGCGCGTCTGGCGGTTGAAGCGCTTCGCGTCCATCTCCGTCGGCTGGTGGCTGAGGCGCAGCGCCGACTGCAGCAGCTGCTCCGTGGACTGCAGGTACTGCGGACTGACCGAGGAGGCGGTGCTGAAGGGCGAGGA